TTTGCAGTTCAGAGATTTTTCAGTCTAATAATTTTCTGTCTTAAGCTGATTTTTTTGTGGAAGTATTTCAACCATCTTAAAGAATGGTAAGATTTTCTCTGCATGAATACCATAGGAGTATTTCAGTTACTAATCATTTCAGGAATGCAATATGCATTATTGTCCTCATTAAAGTCTTCCCAAATATCATTAACGTGCCTTTGAAAATTGCAACTTGCATATGATCTGTGAAGATTTGCAAGAGTTCACAAAGTCAAGTCTCAAGTTTTCATTTCAGTGAGTACGTCATGACTAAGCCTGTGCTTGTGTCTTTTCTGTAGGACAGCTCTTGAGATTAAGCAGAATACACGTGCATTGATCCTGTTAAGCAGCCATGTAGGCCCCACCCCAGGGTTCATGTATTTTCCTAAAAATGGATGCTTTCAGCTGCTTTTTAACTAATGAGATGCAATATTTGTAGTGGATAAAGGAAATCTTTCTCTCCCAGGATCTTGCTGACAAAATTCCTAGCAGAAAGGAGATTTAAAGAAAAAGCTTAGTGATGCAAATGCACAGAAATAAAAGCAATGATGAAGCTGGTGAGACTTGGATTGGAAGAAGGATGAAGACAAATTTGCTGGAAGCTGGGGAGAAAGCAGGATATAAGCCAGTTAGAAAAGAAGGGGGGGCAGAGTGAGTGACTAAAGCTGAAGTAAGGGAAGAGACTTGAGTATGATGAAAACACCGGTTTAAAAAAAAAACAAGGCAAGTGACCAGATATAGGATAGGAGACTAGATTTGCTGGGTGGATGATGTACCAACAGTGTGGTGATACTGTTTTAAATTTATGCAAGATGAAAATGGTTAGATATTATAGAACAGTTTAAGTTGGAAGGAACCTCCAGAGGTTATCTAGTCCAGCCCTGATCAAGGCTGGTCTGATTAGACCATATTGCCCAGGGCTGTGTCAAGTTGAGTCTTGAACGCCTACAAGGATGGGGAGTCCATAACCTGTCTTGCCAATCTGTTCCTGCATTAGACCATTCTTACAGGGGGAAAAAAAACCCACAAGAAATACTGTAGCAGCTGTATCTCTGTGATAGCCTGACCCATTTCTCTATAACATAGGCCAACTTTACACCTTCTTTAGTTCTTTCCCCACCCTTTTCCTCAGGGCTTGTAGCCCTGTCTGGTTAGCCTGTCCTCTCCACTGGGGAGGAAGAAAAGAGGCTGCAAGTGAGCAGCACATCCATTTTTGGCTGAGGGTACTTCTCCCTGCACAGCAGAGCAAAACTGCTCCATCACCAAAGAGTGAGTGAAAGCTAGGGTTTTGCTGTTTGGGAGGGTCCCAGTTCTACAACCTCCATTACAGGGGACGTACTTCTGAGATGGGTCTGAACATGAACTGTCTTGAGAGAGAGGAATGTGATAGATGATGGTGTGATGGACACGTAGAGCAGGCCAGCAGTAAAAGACAACTTGGGGACTAGTTGCAGAAGGAGTTGGTGTGGACATGGGAGTATTTTAGGTTATTTTGACAAGAAGAATGGGATTATATTTGGGAAGAGGGATGTGCTGGAAATGTGGTACCATGATAGGACTGGCTGAAGAAGGAAATTGGTACTTCAAGGAGAAGGGATGGAGCTGGGGATAAGAAGCTAGTGCAAGGACAGAGGATTGGGAAGAGGATATATTTGATAATTTTAAAGGAGTCGGAACTGGGAGAAAACAGCAACATAGTCTGTGTAAGTTACAGCATGTGATTGTCCAGATCATCTGGAATAGAGGAAAGTAGTGAATGTTGTTTTGCTGTGTGCAGCAGTTCACTCTGGGGTTTTTTTCAGCGTGTGATAACTATTAATCAGTCACACTACAATAACAAACACTGTAAAATAATTTAAACAAATTCTTTTGCTCCTTTGGCCCTTGAATTTATCTTGCATTAGATTTCTTTTTCTTCCAAAATAGCCATTGACCTTTTAAGCAGTTGGTTCTGCTCTGACTCTTTTAGGACTTCACAGTTGTCTACATTGACTAGCTTACTCTCTGCTTCCCCAAAGTTGAGGGAAGAGGCATAAGCTCTGGAGGAAAGACATTATTCTATTTTAAAGGCAGAGAGTACATTAAAGATGCTGGAGGCTTCTTAAAAAACACTTTGTCTAAGAGAGGGAATACTGTAAAGTAGATCTGAGCTGAAAGGCCTTTGAGATGCAGTCTTTGCTGGAATTGTTTCAGAATATAGTTCTAGTCAAAACCAGTGGCTGTGCAGCCTTCCTTCTCCAATGTGTGAAATGGTCTAGCTGCTTTGCAACCAACTTTCCTGAGGCGTCCTGAAAATTGAGCGAATGGAAAGCACTGACAGTACAGAACACTGTGGCATTTAAGAAGACAGACAACCTCTGTGCACCACTAGCATCGTATACCATAATTACTTAATTTAACTTGCTACGAGCTGGCAGTACCTCCAGAGAAGCAGTCCTTGCAAACTGGTCTGGAATAACACTTTTTTTGGTGCTAGTTTATTTGTTTAACTGCATCAGTTTTCTGATCTTAGTTGCTGCACAGTACATGAACAGCTTGTTTAAGCTGATCCTATAGCTGATCCTATAGCTACAGTATGTTGTCCCATTTTTGTTTTACAAGTAAAGTGCTTTGTAAGTAAATGTTTTATCCCTGTTTTGAGATGGGGGGATAAATGAGTAATAGAGAAAGAAGTTACTAGTCCAAAGTCACTAACGTGGAGATGGCAGAGGAAGGAGTTGAACTCAGGATCTCTTATGTCCTCGTACAATTCCTTGTCCCTTAGGTTATAGTATCCAAAAAACTTTAGCTATTTCGTTTTCTTCAGAAACATCTAGTATAAATGCAATTTAGTCTGCATGACTTCTCTGCACTGGCTCTTCTGTTGTATTACATCTCTTTTAGAGACCTCATTTTCTATAAAAGCTTCTTTTCTTGAAAAGGATGCTGGGAACAAGAATTTCCCATTTCCCACCTCTTTTTGGTTTCTATCTGAACTGTATCTTCTTTTTTGATGCTCAGAGTTGTTCAAGGTTCAGATTCTCTATTACAAGCCTATATTTTAATCTCCTTAATGTTCCAGATAGCTATTATGTAGGATTTTAATCTTGGAAGGCATATTTCTTACTGAATTGTGAACTGATCATTAGTAGTGGGTTTTTTCTTACATGATTTTCAATGTAGTGCATCAAAAACTTGCTTTTTTACAAGAAGTTTAAAACCTTCCTAAAGCTACCCCATCTACTTTGTGTATTAAACTATATTTAGTCCATTAACGGGGCTCTTAACTGTTAACTGAACTGTCGATAATACTCTTATACATGCCAAGGTGATTAGACTCTGGGTCCAATTTCTGGAGGTAATGTGGGTACTTAGTATAACATCACATTAAAAGTTAGTGGGGCTTGGACTGTAGTGACACATTTGCTCTGTGCACAGCACTTGGGTTGAAGCACTTCAGACAGCAAAAGCAGCAGAGCTGCAGCAGCTGGGTGTGGGTCCGCTTTTTCTCTGCTGAGACTAAGAAACTTACGTAGCTGTCTGCCTCTATAGGAAACAGAGTCTGGTTCAAAGTCACTTTAGATGTATTTGGAAAATATTATTTGGGTATAATTTTCAACTGCTAAATTAGTGTACAAAAACCTTTTAAATGCTGCAGGCATGCTGGAGTACCTAAAAGGTCTAATTTTGGTTTCATTATTCTTTAGTTTTCATGTTAAGCACAAGTTTCTCAGTGGTCTTTGAGACCGTTGAAGAGTTGCTCATTCAAGGTCAGATTTCTGGATTATAGAGGTAAAAATAGTTTAGTTATTTAGAAATGTAATCATAAGTAAATTAAAAACCCTAGATTATTCTTCACAGCCTTGAGTTATAAAACAGCAGGTCATAAAGCCATACTAAGATTAAAAGCTTTGATTGTTTATCTGTAACCTTTTTGTGAGATTAGCTAAGTGCGTCGTCTTGTAAGAAAAACTCTTGACTATCAAGAGATTGGGGTGGGGGAGAAGTTGCTTTGATGCTCTGTAGCCTAGATTGCAATTCCATGTGATTTTCTTTTTTATCCACATGTAAGTGTATGTTATGTTAACTAAAAGGCTTGCAGAACTCAGACTGTCTTTTGGTTGTTGGGGGTTTTTTTGCTTTTTTGTTTTCCTATGGTTAAAACCAACATCTGAGTTAGAATGCAATGTTATATATTTCCTTTATAGCTTCTTAATCTAGTAATACTGAAAATTAGTAATAGTATTTCAGATTCAGTAGACTTCTTAATCTCCCATGTTGAAATGTGCCTGGGTAAAAAATTAGTATCCAAAGTGATGGGCATGTCTGGTTCTATGAGATACATGCAGGGTTGTGACTGTCACTCACTAACCACTATGCTGTTGTCTTATTAATGCATTTTATCGTGAGGTACTTTATTATTTTCAAGGACAATTTTTTATTTTATATTTTTTTTAAATAGAAGCCTTCCTGAAAAGTTTAGGGAAATAGTTGGATCATTCAGTCAAATTTACTAATGAAGTATGTATTTCCCAGTGTGTGATAGATTCTAAACCTCTTACTGGCACCAGAGAGATGTTTAATTTATATAGTTCAAGCTCTGCTGTTGTCATGGGTGACCGTGGGTGAATTGTTAGCTTTATTTTAATTCTGGGCACAAAAACATAGCATTACTTATGCCATCATTATTCTTTATACACTGGTTGAATGCATCATATCTAACTGAAGCCTAAATGTGGTTGATGCCCTTCAGTTTAGTAACTGCTTCCTGAAGTCCTTAACAGCTTAGTTAAATGAGGTAATAATATTTACCTATTTCAAATAACTTTTTTTCCTCTGAAGTATTTTCCAGGTAAGTCAATCATTCATTGTATCTTCTGTATGCAGACAGTAACGTAAAATATTTGTAGCAGCTGTATAAAAATCTAATTAAACTTAGATTGTCTTTAACAAGTTCTGGTTCTGTGTTTAAATTTTTTATCTGTTTTGTGAATACTTTCTTTCTAGGTAGACAATGTTATTAGCTCAGATAAATCGAGACTCTCAGGGAATGACTGAATTTTCTGGAGGAGGAATGGAGGCCCAGCATGTGACTCTTTGTCTAACAGAAGCTGTAGCTGTGCAAGGTGAACCTTCAGGTTAAAATATTTCTACATTATTGTGTCTTTTCTGTTTGAAATTCAGATAAAACTCTAAAACTCCCATAGTGAGTTTGAAATGAAAAATCTAACAGAAATTATTCTTAGTTAACTGAGATTAAGTTCACTAATTTATTTCTGAAAGGAAATAATCTTTTAATTAAGATAATAGTGTAAATGTGCCAAAATAGGAAATACAAACCTGACTTTATTTTTACTACAGTTTTACTGTTTTATACTTTGTAACTTCAGTTTATATCTAAGTATGTATTAAAGAAGTTGAGTTTTAAAATAGAATGGTGATCTAGAATTGGTTTAAACTTGATGTTTTCTGACAGCTTTGTTATGATTTTATGTGATTAAAAACTTTTTCCTAAATCTGTGGTTTACTCTAAATAGATTTGTGTATATTAAGGACAGGTGATAGTGTACAAAGCAAAATTATCAGTACAGGTATATATATAATTATTTCACTGTTGACACTCATGATCTAATTACTATTTCTCCTAAAACATCAGCTTTGTAGTTAGTTATTTATTTAGTGACATTGTAACTTTTTTAGTTAAGGAAAATAACATTCTAGCTGTCATGTTTACAGAGAAAAATCTTGAACATGTGACCCCAGTATATGTTCGAGGTTCAAAAACCAGAAAGCAAGAAAGAACTATTTCCTATTATTATTTCTGAAATCATTATGCTTTAAGGGGATGTAATAATTTACGGAGGTGGTTAAGTTGTGATTTTTAGGGTTTGATGCTGGTAATAGCGAAGTTTTCTCCTTGCTAGATGGTGACAACTTAGAAAACATGGAAGGTGTGAGTTTGCAAGCAGTTACCCTGGCTGATGGCTCCACTGCTTACATACAGCACAATTCTAAAGGTAGGTAAATGACTAGAAGCTGATTGATATTGCAGTCATATTCCCCCTTTTAACCCAGTATATAGATGGTAAACCCCTTTGGATTGTAAAGTCAAGCAAAATCTGTACAATGTTTATAAAGTTCCAATTCTAGCTGGGAATTACAGGTATTACAGTAATACTGTAAAATAAATATTTATTTCTGCTACTAATAAGATGCAGGTATCAAATGCAGAACATAAGTCAAACAAAAGTGAGATAAGCTTTACCCTTCAAACCCAAATATCAGCATTTGGCCTACTGGATAGTATATCAGGCCTTTTACGTTTTTTTTTTCTATTCCAGAATTTTAAAACCTTTGCATAGTCACACTGTGCTTACTCTTTGCCAAACATTATTTCTCGGTCATATTTACTTGATATTTTAATCAGGAAAGTATCAACTGTGTGTTTAAACTGTGATGTGTCATACAGAATATTTTTTAGGAATTCGTATTGTGTATTTCAGATGGCAAATTAATGGACGGCCAAGTGATTCAATTAGAAGATGGTTCTGCTGCTTACGTTCAACATGTACCCATGTCTAAAAGTAGTAAGTGTAATAATACAAGAAATATATTCTAAAATAATATTTTACTGATAAATATTGATGTTAAGTAATTAACAGTCATTATGATGGTTTGATTTCTTATTTTAATTGAAACAGTCATGAAGAGATCCTAGGTATTTTGTGATCCTAGGTATTTAGTGTTTAATGTTTTCCAACTAATGGATTTTTCAAATTGTTGTTGAAGCGTTGTAATTCTTTTTTCCTAACAGGGGACAGCTTGCGTCTGGAAGATGGACAAGCAGTTCAGCTGGAGGATGGAACTACAGCATTTATTCATCACACCTCGAAAGGTAATTTTTTTTTAAAGTGAGATTTATTACATTAGAGTTCAACAGAACTTCAGCAGTATAAAATATGGTACTCTTTAGACTATCACATCATTTAGTGTGATTTCCAATGTAGATTACTTGTTGCTTTTACTTTGTGACATCTAGAAATTGTTGAAATGAGACTGGTTCAGTTCCTTCTTTGGGCCTCATATAACAGTTACAAAGAGAACCAAAACCAGCATATTTCACCTTTTTTTTTAGCCCAGGTTCACATTAAATCAAGTATATGTCATGTTAGTAGAGAATGTAAGCCGTTATACAAATTCCAGCAACAATTGCATGTGAAAATGAGAAGAGAAAGCAGGTAAGAATCAGTCAATCAATCCCTCTTGAGCTAAAGAATGTAGAGATTGACTTAAATTTTAAAGATCATGCTATTGATGATTTTGTCATTAGGTAATAGGGCAGAAAATGTGACAGCTGACAGTCAAGAATGCAAATGTATTTATTTTAAATTGTAACTTAGATGTCTGCAGAAGATGATTACACTAGTCTTGGAAATGGTACTACTTTTCTACAAAAAGCGAACAAGTAGATATTTTAAGTGTTTAAACTAGTGTGACAAGAATTACATTCTACGATCAGCAATATTAAGAGAAGAGAATATAATAAAGAATTTATTCCTTAAAAATCATCCTATATTTTAGGTGTTTCTTTTGCATATTTGCATGATTCTGTTCTTAAAATGATCAGATTTATGAATTCTAAAATCTGCAGTACTGACATCAGTACATGTGTTAGATTATTTTCATTTTATTATGAGTGGACACAAAATGGAAAGCATATTTGTGTTCCTGGTTTCCTTTGTAAATAAAGCTAGACCAATATAAAATTGGTTTTGCACTTTTATAAGTGTGCAGAAATAAAGCTATGGGAGGTGTTGTCTTGAAAAAAATTTCACCAGGGCTATTTGTAGTAATATTTTAAGTGTTTATATTTCTCGTATCTTTCATACATATATATGACTTTAGGAGACATTTCCTAAACAGTAGTAGTTTCTCATGTAACATGCAGGCATTGCTATTCCTTTTTTTTATAACACTTTGTAATATTATTTCTCAGACAGTTATGACCAGAGTGCATTACAAGCAGTCCAGCTGGAGGATGGAACTACTGCCTACATTCACCACACGGTGCAGATGCCACAGTCAGATACTATTTTAGCCATTCAAGCTGATGGCACGGTGGCAGGTCTTCATACAGGAGATGCTGCCATTGACCCAGATACCATCAGTGCTTTGGAGCAATATGCAGCCAAGGTATACTGAAAGACATTTTCTCTATCTGTAATGTTTTAATGCAGCGTCACAAGATATTTGGCAGCAAAAGCCAATTGTGATCCAGCAATTAAAATTATGATTAAGAGACCCTTCAGACTCTTACAAGAGAGAACACCAAATTGTCATGACAGTGCTTCACTATCATGTGCAGCTCCAGTGTGTAGTGTTGCATAAAAAGAACAAAAGATTGAACACTGAAATGATGTGGAGTCAGATTGATTTGGAAAGTGATTTAGATGACTAAATTATAACTTTCTCTAAAATACAGCATTGGAAAGGAGCCTCTTGAGAGGACACTGTTTGGAAAGAAGGACAAAGTTAAATTATTCTTGTTCAGGCACTATTGTTGGATTTTTTTTTTTTTTAAATTTTTTTTTCTTGCATTGGGAAGAGGAGGGCCTGGTGTACTGAGCAAGGACAATGCATTGTATTAAGTATAAAATAGACGCTTAGACAGTTACTGATTTTGTAAAAACTTCTTTGATCCATACTTTCAATAGCAAAATGTAGTATGATGCCCTAAATTCACATTGTGCACTTTACTGGACTTCTGTAAAGCATGATGTAAGTATAATAACAGGCAGTGCAACTTCCATGACTTTATAGCTTAGCAGTGTCCCAGTTGCTGAATGATTACCATTAGTTCTTGTATTGCTCTGGAAAAAGAGTAGAATAAATTTTAAAATCTGTCCTCTAGTGTCACTGAGAGTTGTCAGATTTTGGGAGAAGGCCAGTTAGGGTAATTAAATGGCTTGTACACTATTCTTTCCATTAGTGTACAAGTCTGTGACAATTGAGAGATCCTAAGAGAGTCAGATTGTGTTGTGTTCGGCTATGCTTTAATATTTCATAAAATAAAAGGTAACTCAAGGTTAGTTGAGCTGTAGTGACAAGCTTTTACACGTTCTCTAGTGACTGTTTAATTTAGGTTTAAATCAATCATACCTTTGTCCTTCTTAACGAGGAGTTATATTAATCATAACTTGTTAAAAGTTCTGTTTTGAGAAGGTAAAGAAGAAACAGAAGAAATGCAAATGAATTTGCTTTTTTGTCCTATTTCTCTCAACATGTGTGTTTTAGTTTTGTAATGTGAATTTGTTTTCTGTAGCGTACTTGTGTGTGTTTAGGAAAAGTTATATTTATTTTCTTTAAGTTTTCATCTCAGAACCTTATTCTGAAAGGTACCACTAGAATCTCTTAGGGAAAGTCAGAAGAAGTGAGTTCCCGAGTATTGCACCTGTTTTACGTACAAAAGCAAATTATAGCTCAATCATCCCAACTCTGCCTTTCTCTTAAAAGGAGAAATGTGGGTTTGTGATTCTTCTCCATGTCTCTGTATGCTTCATAATGAGGCAATGTATACTTTTCGTGGCAGCTGGTACAGGAAGGGGCAATAATGGTAACTAAACATATGAAATACATGAGGTAAGCATATGATAGAGTTTTATAAAATTTTAAGTCGCACAAAGAAAGAGTAGTGACTTGTCGTTGTCTCTACTTGTGTAAGAACTGGGAAGTACCAGATGAAACTCTGAGGTGACAGGTTCAAGAAAAACAAGGGAAGAATACTTTTTCAAACAGCACAAAGTTAAACCATGGCAGTGCTTGTAGGATTGTAGGATATTGTGGATGCTAATATGTCTCTGAATTCAAAGAGTAATTAGGTAAATTCATAGAAGAAAAATGTATCCAGGGCTACTAGGTAGAAACATGTGACCTCTACTTCAGGAAGTTCCTAAGCCACAAATTGCTTGGAGGTTGGGAGAATATTTCTGGGAATGTATATGCTTGGCCTGTTTCTTTAGTCTTCTCTAGCATCTGCTACTCGCTGCTGTTGGAAACAAAATGGTGCACTAGATTGACCTTTAGTTTGACTCAGTATAGGTGTTCTTACGTTCTTAACTGAAGGCAGACTAAATCTTTCTTTAGAATCTAAGACGGTCTTTTAGGAGGAACTCAAAGATCTTCCTTGGAGTCCTTCCAGAATTCTCCCAATACTGCAAAAAGAGAGGTTTAAAATTGGGTGTTGTCTTTCTGGTTTTGTTTTTGTTTTTTGTTTCTCTTTGAAAGTTTTCTCTTCTAAACTTAAAGAGCAAAGAAAATTTTAAAAGCAGATTTGGAGAATGGTGGTTCTTCTCTCATCCCCTGTCCTACATTACAGGCAGAAATAGCAAAGATCAGTAGACTGCTCAAGATCAGTGTAAAAACTCTGTAAGAGAGTTCATACAAAGAGATCCAAGAAGACTACAGAGAAGCTCACTGGAAGTGGTGGAACACGTACATTTTTCATTGTCCCTTGCTGCTTCTTTAGGCATAGTACTACTTTCCCACATCTTGCAGAGCACATGCAAAGACTTAACTAGAGTCCTTTTAATTTTGGACTAAGTCAATGTCACCTTCCACCCAAAGCAACCAAGGGAAAAAGAGATCATTGCTCTCAGTGAACGTAAAGTCAGAAGATATATAATGGAATTGTGAAGAGGTTACCACACATACTTTTCTTCCATAAGCTGTTTTCCTGCAACATCCTAGCTGCTGGAAAAGTACAGTTCCTGGGGTTTGTGTATGTCTACACATAAGCATGCACATTCCGTTTGGATCATTTGTTTCCAGTGGCATTGATGAACATTTAATTTCATGTCAGCAGTTCCTTTCTCAACCAACAACAGGAAGTTCAGGATGGTGGGATTCAAGTCTCATTTCTGTGCAGGCTCTCTCCTTCCCTTCAAAAATTCTGCAGAAGGTCCCAAAATGACTATTGTTTCCTTTAAAAAAAAAAAAAAAAAGATAATTGCCGGCTTTGCAAACTCTCTTTGCAGTCTGTCTGTAATGTAAACTTAGTTCTGCTTGGGCACTTTCCTCTTCACTGTTATAGCTCAAAGTTGCCAAAAGTATATTGCTCACAGTCATCTAATTTAGAAAGATAGTACAGTCTGAAAACCTCTTATGGGACAAGTTCATCTTCAGTCTCAAAGTGAAATGTTGATAGCTAATGCTTTGAGCAAGATACTTTACACAACCATTAACGTTCTCAGGAGCCTGCTATGACCTCCTTAGTGAAAGGGCATAAGCATACTAGCTGAGGTAGGGTTCCTGCCAAACTATTTAGGTGCATCAATCTCAGCTTTGAGTGTAGTGGATGCAGAAAGTATTATGAATGCCTGTGCTCAATACAGAGGCAATTAAGGAATAGGAAACTATGTAAAGTATACTTTAAATTAGTTTATTCTACTGTAACTAATAAGACAATGTTCTTTGGGTTGTTGTGAGAGAGTTTGTGGGGTTTTTTAAACTGGAAAATTATATTTTTATTTAAATACGTTTTTCAAATTAATGTCTAATATTATTTCAAATATTTTTATAAGTTCCTTGGAAAACAGCAATACCTTTCTCCTCCTGTATACTGTTTTTAAAAATAAACCTATGGAGCCATACACAAGTCTTTGCTTAGCTGTTGTAATTTGACTATTTCGAATTGAGATGTAACACATTGTCTAAGGTATTTTGATTCCAAAGGAGCTGTGCTATTCAAAACAAGTAAATTCTGCTTAACAGGGAGTGAGAGGTATATCCCTACTATAAAAGTAAATGTTTTCTTTTTTTCTGTCAGAACTCAGTAGTGTTAAAGTTATTTAATACTTTTGTCAGACTATTAATGTAACATACTTGGTTCTTGCAGTCTTTCCTACTTTAAGACAATTTTGAGATGCTAACTTCACCTATTCTATAATGCAGATGCTACAAGTGGTGATTTTCATATAGGCTAATATACTATAGGATAACCATGTTTCAAGAGGGAGCTAGAGAGCTATGAAATAAGCACTCAGGAACTGTCTGTAATCCTCTGTTTTTCAGATGAATAAAAATAACCTGTAAATGTTTTTCCCATTTCAATTTGTTTTATCAGGTGTCTATTGATGGAAATGACAGTGTTAGTGGCACAGGAATGATAGGCGAAAATGAACAAGATAAAAAAATGCAGGTATGTAGCCCATTAAAAAATAATTAAATATATCTATTTCTTCTGTCTTCTCTACCCAGCAATGTACATGATAGGTAGTCCTGTGTAGCCATGAACTAGGGTTTGCTGCTACCCTTCAGGAATTTTAGATCTCAAACCTATACAGATAGGTCATATTTCTCACTTTGTGCAAGATCCTTTTACAAGATTTTAAAAAGATCTTCTAATACTTAATGTTTCCTGAGGGTTTTCTGTTAAAAGGTAATTAAAAAATATGTTGAATTTCTAAGATTTTTTTCAAGCTGACCTGAGTATTTCATCAGTAAGGGTGTAAGTATTTCAGAAGTTCTTTTCCAGAGAATGAATGTGACTTTTCATAGTCCTTAAAGCAGAAGGAATGCTGACTCAATTAATGAATTATTTTCTTCTTAAGAGAGACAATTCCAGGCATATGTCTGGAACTGTTCTCTCTTTGGTCACTTATTTTGATTCCATTTGTTCTGTTAGAGTCCCTGACTTTTATTGTGGATTTGGTAAGTAATCAGTAGATAAGAGTGTTGATCCTAGTGAACGCTTAAAACGCAGAAGAATTCTTCCATTTCTTTTTCTGCATTCATGTTGTTAGTACGTAGAAATATAAAAACCTTTTCGATGTGAAAATATTAACTTAGAAGTTCAAAGGGCAATGGAAAATACAGGTGCAACTTATTAAGTCTCAGGCTTTTTTACGTGGGATCCATAAAATTATGTGAGGAGAATGGTATTTGTCATCATAAGGTATTTTATTAAGGGAAAAGACAAATCAAAATGTATTCTGGGCTTCAAAGAATTATGACCAACAACAAAAATAATAAGAAAACCCCCTATACCTTCACATGTTCAAACAACAAAATCAAAAATGGAAAAGTCATTGCATTGAGAAAGGTTTGGTGAGAGAAGCCTTGTTTTTACTTTTTGTTGAATTTAAGAGATAATAAACCAGACAAGGAAGAAAAATATCTTCCAAGGTAAAATACAGTATCTGTGAAAGGAAGAATTATAGGCTCACTTCTGACAGTTACCTCAAATTTCTCTATTCTTTATTTTTGCAAAAGCTAGAACCCACAATATTTAAAGCTGCAGACACTCCCATTTCCTGTGTGGCATGACTGTGAAAGGATAGAATAACTAATACATGCATTATTTAAGGTATTGGAATATAGTCCATGAAATGAAGTCAAAAAATGTAGAGGTTTTGCACAGTTGTAGGTTGGAACAGGGATACAACTCCAACAAAATGCAAAATTCAAGGAAGAGTAAGATAAGATCTTGGTTTTACCTGGAAGTAAGAGACTATTAAGCAAAATTACCTGTAACCAGTATCCAGTTACATGTTGATTTCAGCCTCAGCCCCAAAACAAAGTGAATCTGGAGGTTGTTTTGTCTTATACATGTATGACAACACATATGCCATATGGAAATGTGCCAATCTTATGGAACATTATATGTTCCAAATAAAAAAAGTTCTGGTATTTCAAAAGGTATTGAGGCTTAGTCTCAAATTCTGACCCCTATAAGGTGACTTCAGCTGGCCAACTGAAGGGTCCTAAAGCTATCAATTATCTATGAAAATCTTAATCATGTTTATATCGTGATTTAAGTAGATACCTATTTGCAACTCATTTTGAAATAACATATTCTTTGGGATAAAATAGTCTCATATTTAGATATAGTATTAAATAAGTGTGTATACTAAAACCTTTTAAGTCCACAGGTAACACAAGAACAGAGCAGATGTCATGCTGCTTAGTAGTCATTCAAACTTGCATGTGGTTAGGTTTTTCACCAAAGAAAAAGCATAAAACCTCTTTGTGATTTCCACATGTGAAAACAAAAGACTGTGTGTGCTCAAATGGATATCACACACTATTTCCTTGCAAACCTGTCATACCCATCTGTTTGTAATAAAAGCAGAATCATATGACTGAAGTTTGTATGTATACTATATAAAAATTATATCTGAGATCTTTGTTACCTTTGTTGTTCTCCTGTGTTACCTGTCTGAACTCAGGATGCATTTGTGATTTCTTTTAAAATTAGGTGGTGGGTTTTTTTTAATTTTGTCCATTTAAAAGTAATTTGAAGTACACAGTTCCTCTCAACAAGTTTCACATTATCAAGGTGCTCTATTTGCTATGTTCTTCTGATTTTGTGCCTCGTAATATTTGAATTTTTTAGTTTCTTTAGCATGTGTTATCTTCTACAAACAGCAATTTTAATACTATACCTGTCCCTGTTGAACAAATGCTCATAATGTTCAACTGATGTTTTTTTCCTAAGTGTTCTGTTTTATTCCTCCCCCCTCCCCGTATCAATCTTAACATTAGTATAAGTATGTCTGGTTATTTCCTTATAGATATTAGCACATTGATTATAGAACTGTGTAAATTTTCTTTTAAACTTGGTATACTTCAGCTTTATAGCAGATCTTTGCAACTATATACATATTTTTATATGCTGAAACAACAAAGAAATACTGGCAGGTTTACTAATAGAAAAAACAAATCAATGCTTAAGTGTAGATGCCCAACCAAGCATCTTCTTCATGATCTTCAATGTATTAAAGTGACTTCTGTGATTCATGGTATCATAGGTTAAACAATAGTATTAGTAATGGGTTTCTTGATTCATAAGGTTATGTTTTTCTGTGGTCCAAGAGAAGCTTTTCTGAAGTTGTGGTGGTGTACATTTCAGTTGATTAAAAATTTGATATTCAACTTTGCATCTTTAGTCTTAAGAACAGTCTGAAGGTAACAAGGCGTCCTTCCTGAAGAATCCATGGGAAAGTTGTTCTCATTCAAATTTCTGATCTATCTGAATGAGGAATTAGAGGTCTACGTGCAGTTGCAGAGCTACAGTCTCGTTGAGATGAGGGACATATGGTGGGATATTTCAGGTGACTGGAGTGCTGTGATGGATGGATACAGGTTTCTTAATAAGGGCATGTGGGGAAGGAGAGGAGGGGGAGCTGCCCTTCATGTGAGAACAACAGGACTGCACAGGGCTCTGCTTTGGCATGGGTGATGAGTCAGTCAAGAGCCGATGGGTCAGAATTAGCTGGCAGACCAGTGCGGGTGGCATTGTGGTGGTGGTGTGTTACAGAGTGCCTGATCAGGAAGAAGATGAGGCCTTCAGACAACTGGTAGAAGCCTCATGTTCACAGACCCAGGTCCTAGTGGGGAATTTTAACCATCTCAGTATCTGCTGGAAGAGCATCAGAACAGGGCACATGAAATCCAGGAGGTTTCTAGAGTTCAGGGATGGCAGCTGGCAACCTAAAGCAGGTTATTGAGCAGCAGGTGAGGTGAGACGCTTTGCTGGACCTCATACTTACCAAGAAGAATTAGTTGGGAATGTGAAGGCTGGGGGCAGCTTTCAGGAGTCTCCATCCTTAGAGACACTCAGAATCCATCTGGATACTGCTGTGAGCAACCTCCTGCAGCTGAACAGGAGGCGTTGGACTAGAAGATCTCCAGAGGTGCCTGCCCACCTCATCCATTCTGTGAAATGTTCTTTTGACAATTCAGAATAGAATTTGATCCATAAGAAAAGGAGGTGATTTAAAAGAAGGATAGACCTTTTAAAATAGTCTCGATTACCTTGCATACAGTTGTATCAAAATGTTTACATTTGGGCTTCTTTCTTCAGTCTATATGAATGTTTCTTGCATGTTAGTGTATGGAGAAGCCTTTAAAAGGTGTTTAAGTTGCATCGCAAAGCTATTCTGTACATTTTCCTGTTGTGTCATGTCAGAAAGGAGAGCAGAACCTAGCTCAAATTGTTCCAATTAGTTTGATCAAAACACATGCATCACTGACAAAGTACAAAATACTTTCCTTCATTTTCAAAAAGTGCTCATTATAAATGCATTTAATTATTGTTTGGCCTTTGCATGAACTTATCTTTGAAGGTGGTCTGATTTATGGCTAATCTCCCTTAGGAACAGATCCAGTGCCGTAAATGTAACCTAGGCCTCTTCTGTCCACTAATTTGGTCATCTTGCCGCTGGGCTTGTATTTAAAATTATTTTGTCTTTGTTGTTATTTGGCTAATTAATGCATGTATTTGATAATTAATAATAATTTAATAATTATAGTGGGGGGTTTTTTTAGATTATTTACTGAGGACTAAAATACATGGCATAGTAAAGAGAGACAAAAGAAACCTGTCAGAATCAGCTCTGACTTGATAGCAAAATAAAGTGTGTGACTTTTCTGATCCATTGTATTGGGGTTTTTTATTTATTTATTTTATTTATTTTTTTATATTTAAGATTGTCTTGCAAGGACATGGAAGCAGAGTGACTGCAAAATCTCAGCAGAGTGGAGAGAAAGCCTTTCGCTGTGATTACGATGGCTGTGGAAAACTGTACACAACAGCTCACCATCTTAAGGTGATGAGATGTAAAATGAGCATAAAAGGCATAATTTCTTTTGACAGACTATATGGTTAAAAGTAACAGAAATTACAGAGAGCCAGTTGCAATGGTGCTGTTTTGTCAAATGTTTATTGGATTGATTTTTACTGGTTATCCCAGGTGCTCAGCTGATTTTGCTTAGTGTTGCGGATAGATGCAGGTGTGGGATCATGTTAGGCTCCTATATTGCCAGCATGTAAGAAATCTCTTGTTGAGATAGTTTCTACCAGCAGTGTCACAGAAATTCTGAAATCCAGTGTTCACATTATGTACTTTACATACATGCATGATCATATACAAACTCCATTTTTGAAAGATTTTACCATCATACAAAGTCTAACTCTTCAAAACAATTCAACATTCGAAGTGAAAAGCTGGAACATCTTTTCTTTACAGGTGGCAACTCCTTAATTCCTTCCTTTTTTAAATTAAGTAAAGGAATTACTGACACAGTAAGGGTGTAGAGCTGTTCACATTCCAGCTTAGGCTGAGATAATCACTTGCCGATGAGGTAAACTCCTTGCAGTGTTGCCTTGTCTCTGACAAAACACTCTGGAATCAGTGAGTAACAGACTCTATGGATCGTGTGTTAAAATGGTGTCCTTGCTGTAGAGTTTTCATGCAATATAAGAGGATTATTAGAAGCGCTCAGCAGAGTTAAAAATCAGATAGGGAGTGGGCTCTAAGGCATGTTTGCCTACTGTCTTTAATGTAGTCACATGTTGGCAACTCTGTGTATTTACAGAAATTTTTTTTGCAAAACTGACTGAAAAGATCAGGTTAGTCCTTGGAAAGAGATATCTTTAAAAACATCATTACCATTTTTTTTTAATTGCTGATTTAAAAAGAAAACACTTGAACGTGAATCTTAGGAAGAGAAAGAAAATAAGTTGTCTTTAAGAATGAACTGTTTCTGTGTTGAAGTAATCAGATTCAACATTTCATTAAGTCAGTGTATTGGATGTCTTGACAGGTGCATGAAAGGTCACACACAGGCGACAGACCATATCAGTGTGAACATCCTGGATGTGGCAAAGCCTTTGCAACAGGTAATCTTTTGTAGACTAGCTCCTCCTGCTTCTTAGTGTTTATCTGTGCATAAAGAAAATTTTTAATGTTGCCTTTTTCAAACTGCTAAGTAAAGAACTTGGTTGTGAGAACTGCAAAAAGGTCATCATTTCAGCTAGCATAGCATATACAATGGACAGAGAATTTAACTCTTAGTTACTGAAGGAGGAATGTGGTGAAACACTCAGCACTTTCCCTTCCTTTTCACTTGTCATGCCACAGTCAGATTTTATGTTGAAAAAATAAGCCTTTCTTAACATGAAACTAATAGTATAAGTTAAATGAGGTGGTAAGAAGCTGAACCTGGTGGCTAGAGGTAAATACCCAATCTTCTTTACCGAATTTGAAAGGAACTTTGATAGAAGATGCTGTTTTAAGTGTTCTTTATTGAATTTGTATCAGAGTGACATTTCTTATGAAGTGAACTCTATATTTCATACAGACTACTCTGTTCATAAATGATGCTCTCCCTGAGATTGAATTTGATCATGCAAAATGCAATTATGAAGACTGAAACATGGAAGAAAGTGAAAGAACAAAACTTATTTCAAATTTTATTCTTTTACTTTGTAAATTGATGCTTAGAAAAGTTAGGCCCTTTAAAAAAAACAACAAACCAAACCAAAACTCAGGTGTTTTTAAAATAACTTCATCTGATCTAATATATTAATACTATTTCTTTGAATAGAAACAAGCAAAAGAAATGCTGATGAGAAACGTCAAAAGGGAAACCACCACACTTAAAAGGTTGCACCTAAGTTTAATTGCATAGTGTTTGTAAAGGGATTTCAAAACTGCATAATGAAATATTCTCTTCCCTTGCAACAGACTAATGTATGGCTATAAACAGCTGTTTGTCTATTAATACCATATTTTTGGTCAGAGCCATTGTACCACTGTAGTTTAGCAATCCTTGCCTTTGATAAAGTTCATTTTAAGTACTGGATGCTCTTGGTTTAAATATTAAGAACTCTCCTGGGTTGAATCATGACTTTATTTTAGATGTAAGAATGAATTAATGCTCAGCTTGGTAGACGTGCTTTGTGTTACTAAAACCATCAAGAACAGGAATTTCAGCTGTTTTAAGGAGAACACACTGTGAAACTAAAGCAGGTGCCATCTTCTTACAGACCGTTACTTTATTTTGTAGAAATACATCTGTCACTTGTGGACACAAGTAAAATTCAAGTTCATTTTCTAAAACAGCTGTTTCAGGGTTCTTTAGTCATGACCTTTTCAGGGAAGTGCTGAAAGGACAATCTTGGTAAAATGCTCTTTGCAAAATAATTTACAGAGGGACTGATCCAAAGCTCGCTTTAGACTGGTAGAGTTTTTGATGACGATCAGTTCCTAAAAGTAATCTTAAAGGGAATAAGTATCCATGACTGCTATCAGTTGGCACTTATATATGTGATATTGTTAATGATGTGTTTTAAAATAATTAGAGTTTAGAGCCTAGATAGCAGTAGAACTTTTACTGCTGACTTCATTAACGGTACTGCTTTTTGTGTGAGAGAATAATTAAATGTCATTCGGATGACAGTAGTGGTAAGAGATAAAAAGTAGATGGAATACAGACCATACAGTTTCCTTAGAAGACAAATATTTGTCCACGTTATAATCATTACAGTTCATCCTTTTGAAGGGAAGGAGAAGCATTATGAAAATGTACTTTCTTCATAAATGAAGGATGAAAGAATTTCTAAACTGTATCTAGAGTTCTGCTGCTCTGTGTGGTAGAATAAAGAGCTTGTGAAGAGTGAAAGAGCAAATTTTACTCATTAGGGAGCTTCCTGATTGGAATGGCAAGCACAGCTTTTGATGGTGATGGTTTATGAGTATCCTGATTTTGTGTTTATATTACTATAACATCCTTTCTGATCTTCAGGGTATGGGTTAAAAAGTCACGTCCGAACGCACACTGGTGAAAAGCCTTATCGGTGCACAGAAGAAAATTGCACCAAATCATTCAAGACTTCAGGAGACCTGCAGAAACATATCCGAACCCACACAGGTACCATTATCACCTATTACTTTTTTTGTTAATTCACTTAGGTGCTATTTTTTTTTCTCTTTCATCATTCTGTGACTCTATAAAACAGCATGTGTATATTCTTTTTCTGAAGTGAGCTCAACAGCATTTCAGCATGGTAAGCATTTACTGCAAACCAGTATGCTTCTCTTGGAAAAAGTGCTTAAGCATTTACACTGCTATTGCAAATGCCCTTTTAGCAGTGTGTCACTTACATTGTCACTGAGTCGCTTGGTGCCTTTACAGTTTCATTTCAGCTGTAACAGAAGAAGGAACTTTTTCTCAATAAAATGGCTTGCCTTTTAGAAATGGCATCAGCGTTCTTAAGTTTTGGTGCTTTAAGGTAACTTGCACGCGAGCTTCACAAAGGTCGATAGTTCTGAGCTTGTTATCCTGATTTCTCTTCTCTTCTTGCGGCAGAAAAAATATCAAAAATATCAACTGTTAGTAAAACTTTCAAATGCATAAAAATTAAAATCTTGCATTTTGTCTAAAAAAAAAAAAGATTCATTTGAAAGCTGAAACACAAATAAATTCTAGACCACATACACTGCACTCCACAAAGGTCTATTGGCGCACACACATCTAAACAAGTTTGTACAATGTCTCCTTTGCTCCTGAGATCTCAAAAAAAGGGGGAACCCCCCCCGTGTAAATGTAGGAAGAATAATCTATCACTTACTAACCTATTCCTTTAAGTATATTTACTTGCCCGCTAGAACACAGACAAATTTTTTCCACTGAACTTTCTGAATCTTAAGGACTGAAAAAGAACAAAATAAATATTTTTTTTCTCAGATTAAAAAGAAGGGGGGGATAAAAGCAGGCAATAAAAATTATAAAAACTCAAGATTACGTTGAGATAATTCTGCTTTCCTGAACTTCCATATTCAAAGACACTCTGTTGGGATTAGCGCTATCTTGATGTTAAATTGGTCATCAGGATCAAGACATGAACGTGTCATCTGTTTTCAGTTCTACAAGAGAACTGTTTGACGTTATGTAGTACATCAAGTACAGACTATGAACGGAAAGATTTCTGTGGTATGGACAACAACTTGATTAGCTGTAGACTGTTTTCTTTACTTCTTTATGGCCATAGAAGTTGTATGGGAATTTAATCGCTTTAATCTAATTTAGCAGTTGAGACAAAAGACTTGAGCCAGCCCTGTGTAACCATTTACCCATTTGAACAGTATTAATAATACAATCATAGACTCCCAGCAGTCCAGGGACCAGAGTTCAGGAGTGTCTTTTTTAAGATTTACGAGGAGTTACAGGAAGCCAAAGAATGAGAAGAAAATTGCACCAAGTCCTCTATGCAGATGGATGGAGCAGTGCATGCTCATACCCTATGCAAGCTGCAACAGCGTACCAGATGGAGGAAAGTCTGGGCTCTGCCCTCTCTCCCATGGCTCTGAGACCTTTTTGTTCCTTTATCATGTAGAGCAGGGTTAGCACTTTCTTAATTTTCTGCCTCTTTTAGCCAAAAGTGATTTTTCCCTCTCTTTCAGTGGCAGTCCAGTCTCACTTTCTGTTGCCATCAAATGCTTGCCTCCGGTTCCTCCATGACTTCCCTAGACATTACTCTTCTAGTATCAGAAAAGCTGGTGTGGAAGGTTCCTCCTGACTGCTGTGGGGTAGAGCTTGAAGGCTTCTGATTTGTTTTGCGTTTCTAGTGCTAGAAATCTCGGTCACCTAGAAACCGGTCGCTTTTCTAACAAGTACGTTAGAAACTTAAAGGCTGGCTTTACCAACCGGTTGGATGACATTCCTGCGGGCATTCTTTAAGAGCAATCTGTTTTGGTTTCTAATGCGGGAGTCTGGTGTTGGGCGGGGTTGATGCTGCAACCCTGCTCCTTTCAGGCAGTGATTTGAGGTCCTGGGCTGAAGCAAGGATTAGGGGAGCTATGGTAACACAACACTGAGGCGTGTAGGCTTTAATACGCACACACTGCCTTGGCAGGAAGCTGAAAAACCTTCCCGAAACAGCTGCCCTGAGGAGTGAGTTATAGTTTCCTCTGCCAAGGAGCTAACTGCTTTGGAGTTTCGTGGTATTAAGGTCTCTATCAGGACTTTTTTTTTTTCTGTCTCAAAGTACTTAATGTTGTATCTGTAGTGGTAATCTGCCCTCTTTTGCTCTCAGATTCTTCTCCTTGGTAAGCAGTACAGTGGGTGGGATGTACTTAGCTCTAGGAAGTGTGAAATTACAACAGGACAGCATGTCAGGAGGCTCGCACTTCTCCCAAGTTAACACCCTTCACTCTCCCTCTTTTGCCTTGAGAGATCTGAAAGGTCAAGGGGATTGGGGTATTAGACAGGGCTTGGCCTAGTGCTTGTGAAATGTTTTGGTGCAATGATGTAAGTTATTGTGCTTTAAATTTATATTACACAAATAGACTTATTTTAAACAGAACTTGTATTTGTGATTGCTTTGGTTTTGGGGTTTGAAACTTGAGTTTCAGGGCTATGTCTCTTTAAAAAGTTGGTTCTTGTGTAAGTTTAAGTATTTCTACAATGAGTTACTAATCTGTTTGTATCTTGGTTATATGCTAAATCATGAAGGTTTTTTTTTTTTCATTTTATGAATTACAATTGATAAATGTACAAATGGTATGATACACTTGTTTTGGATAATGTATGTATGAATTGGGGGGGAGGGGGAGTGCTAAGTACATGTTAGAATATGGACAATATGGAAGCTAGCCCAAGCAACTGAATCTCTTTTATACATCATAAAGTACTAATCTAAATGCTTCTTACTTTAGTTTATCGATTGCATGATTTCCCTGAATTTTGCCATTTTTGGCTAAATAGTAGGACATTCCACAGTGGCGTGTTCATGGTATTTCTGACTGAGGGTCTCAAAGACAGAATTCAGTAGATTCCTACATTCAGTCTAAGTGTAACTTAGGACTTTTATTCTTTTATAACTTTTGCATGTGTACCTGTTCTTTTTTTTTTTTTTTTCCCCCCTCAGGTGAAAGGCCCTTTAAGTGTCCCTTTGAAGGATGTGGCAGGTCATTCACAACATCTAATATTAGAAAGGTTCACATCAGGACACATACAGGTGAAAGGCCTTATTACTGCACAGAGCCAGGATGTGGGAGAGCTTTTGCCAGTGCAACTAATTATAAGAATCATGTGAGAATACACACAGGTATATGAATGATGTTTTGTTTTTTGAAGTGGAATCTGCTTGGAATATGCTGTCTCATTCTCCTTGTGAACACTGTTTTGGTGCACTGTAATTGGGTATAGTCATGTTTATATGACCTGGCTTGGTACTTTTGTTTGGGCATCATCTCCCCTCAGCTGAGGATAGTTAAGCTGTTAGGTTTCACACCTTGCTGTCCAGGCAGAATAATTTTGGTTTGGATACGAAGTTCTTAAAAATGAATACAAACCCTTGTCTTCAGTGGACATTGGACTAAATCTTTAATATGGTCCTGGGACTTGCCTCCATTGTGAGCTGTTTCTTAAATAACAATAAAGCACAAGTCTGAGCCTGACTTTAGCTCACTGTTGGGAGTCACCCTTTCATCCCAGCTGTGTTTTCCTTGCTGCTGGAGCGGTGGTCAGAACCTTCTTCTTAAAGATTGGAGCTGAAAATACTTTTCCAACTTGATTGTCAGGATTAGTCAGCAGAAATAATTGGCACAAATTCGAAGGTTTTAAAATATAAAAGGAAGTAATAGCTGTATCATCTTGGTGGTCTTATATATTTTATAGAAGCACAGCAAGTTTCATACAGGTACGTTTTGTATCTCAGATTATCTTTTTAGTTTATAATGTAATTTGGACATTTGTTTCATTGATTTTTAAATGAAAGGTGTTTTTATATGAAACCATAATTGTTTAAACATATGCTTCCTATAGATTTCTTCAGAGTTTAAAGGCTCAAAAGTGAAATTGTACTAGTGTATCAACGTACCTGATCATTGATGAAAAGTATGGCGCTGCCAGTAATAAAAGAACAAAATTCTCAATATGATGCCAAACTGACATCGTTGCTTTCAGCATGTATCATTCTGTCTTCATCAGAAGGATGTTTTAGATGGAATAATAGGGAGAAAAAAGGGCTCAACTTTTACTGGCAGTAGTTTTTTAAAACAGACAGTGAGAGGCTGTATCGATAAACTTTGTGAGCTTGAATTTCACTGTTGCCTTTGAAATTGAAGCATGGTGGGTAATGAAGGTGTGTCACTGAATATCATTTGTGGACGATTTTTTCTGTGCATCCTGGATAAAGTTCTCTCTCCCTTTTGTTTTTCCATACAGGGGAGAAGCCCTATGTCTGTACAGTTCCTGGTTGTGATAAACGTTTTACAGAGTATTCCAGTTTATACAAACATCATGTTGTACATACTCATTCCAAACCATATAACTGTAATCACTGTGGGAAAACATACAAGCAGATTTCTACACTTGCTATGCACAAGCGGACAGCACACAATGACACAGAGCCCATTGAAGAAGAACAAGAGGCTTTTTTTGAGCCACCTCCAGGTTAGAGTTTCAGTCTTTGAATCCCTTGTTGTAAAAAAAAAAAATAGGCTGGATAATATTTTGCTGTTTTTTTATAACCAAGGAAATAAAAGCATAGATAAAAATCTGAAGTACTTAATAAAGTTATTTAACTTCTTTGTAGGACTTTTTAGTGTGGTAGGCAACTTGTAAACAGAAACTGAGAGAGTAATTGACCAGATCATAAACTCATTTATAGCAGTCCTGGGGATAAGAGAGAAACTGGAGTTGCAGTCCCAGCAAAACTGCTCATAAACATGAATGTGGAAAGGGATCTGAGAATCTAAAACATTTTATGTTTGCAACCTACTGGATTTTTCCTAGGAATTTTTCTAAGAGTATGTATAACACCATGGTTGGTGATGGTCTTTTGTACAGGAGTAAGAGCAGTGCTTCAAGAAAAGGAAAATCTGCCTTTGCAGCACCCTGATATTGTGCTGGTTTTGCTGTAGTTAATAGCAGGTTTCTGTAAACTGTCCCAGAGGCAAAAATGAAAATAAGCTCATGTGCTGCAGTACTCCTTAGAGTATGTTTTTCATGGTATCATGAGTATTGAATCCTATGACTATGAAAGATCAAGCTGAAGGAAATACTGTGATAGGACAAATACCACTTGTCAAATTGTGATTTTTTTTAAAGATGTGACTGAAGATAGGAAATACATGTGCAAACTGTTCTGTTTAGAAAAGTTGTTTTACTACATGAATGTGAGAAACTGCATTGAATGCCTCAAGCAGACTTGCTATAGTCTAATTCCTTCTTTTAAAGGAATGATAAGATTCATTTGCTGAGGTTAAACATTTATTAAGATAATGAACTTACTTAAATCTTCACACAAAGGCATCACTGTGTTCTTCTGTATGTTTGTTAATTAATAACTCTTTTAAAAAGCTGCCAGTTGTGTTTGCATGGAACCTCTTGTATGGAGAGGTTAACATTAAATGAATGAATTTGAAATGTGTGTCACTGGTTTAATATTTGCTTATAAACTAAATGTATATTTTCTTTATGTGTAGTATTTATGTGTGTTAAAACTCATTGCTAAAAGATTATACTCTGTGTTCCCAAAACAACAGCATTTCTGAATCTCTTTTGGTATCTTTCCTTCATTTATTTTTCTCATCTTTCCACTAAAATTTTTCCATTGGAGCGTTTAAAACCTTCAAACCAGGCTGGCACTTAATCCTTGTCATTTGCTTTCCTGGCAGCATTTAGAGTACGTAAACTATCCTCTTGCCTTCTTTGTATCAAACAGGTCAAGGTGAAGATGTTCTCAAAGGCTCCCAGATAACCTATGTGACAGGTGTAGAGGGAGAAGATGTAATTTCTGCACAGGTTGCTACAGTTACTCAGTCAGGATTAGGTCAACAAGTAGCACTAATATCCCAGGATGGAACCCAACATGTAAGTAACCACAGCGTTAAAGAGCTGACAAAAATACGTTGAGAATTGAGGCAAGTGTTTGCAGATACCCCACGTGCTTTCTAAGATCAGTTAGGATTCTTGGTAAATACGCACATGGGTTTCTTAAGGAAAGAAGCTTCTTTGGAGCTGGGTCAAGATATGTTAGGGTTGGGCCTCCTGTGGAATTAAACCACATATTCTGACATCTGAAACTGTATTAATATTAAGCTAGATTTTTTTTGCTATCCTTGTTATCTTTGTCACTCTTAAAGTAGGCATGGACTATTTTAACAATTGTTATATATATACAGCCTAGTTTCTGAGGTTTCTCAGAATTTCCTGATTATTCTATTAGTATCGGATGATCGTCTTCACTGTTGTCTTGTCTGCACACACTTTGAGGGAGTGGGAAATCTTTCTAGTCCAGTGCCTGCTTTACAAGCTGTTTGGTAGTGTGCGGTTCTTACCATTTCTAACATAAACAAGAAGATAAGGAATGTTTTGCTACTACCTTCACTTGAAAATTCCTATGGATTTTTTTTTTTAAGGATTCCTAAGGATCTATTTTTTAAGGATTTCATTGGGAGGGGATTTCAACACAACTCTTTTGTTTAGCTATGGCAATGTATCAAAGGCATATGAGGAAAAGTTTATATCTCAGCTGGAAAGGCAGCTGAAATGCCAGTAGCAGATGAAAGATATCTTCTAAATTCAAATTGGGAATGAAATACTAAAGGGGGCTGTTATATTGCTAGCCCTGAACATTGCAGCAATACTAAGTGACTGGCATTTTTACCCTCTAAAATGAAGGCCTGCAGAAGCCTTGACATGGAATTGTCACATTTATTTAAATTATCCTTCAGCTTGACTTTAGTTCTGGGATGTTTTATTACTTTGTAAATCAGACATCAAATCACGTATCTCATGCCCTAATGCATTTATAGTGGAGACATCGGTAATTTATGTCATTAATTCTTTATGAATTGTTTATTCGTGGTTTAAATTCTAAGCCCTCATAGGCCTCTTTAGTATTTCCATTAAGATAAAAGTATGTCAGGTGGTACTCCCTTGAGTCACATTGTCCATTGTGTAAGACACATGCATAGATAGCCTATCATGCGGTTATTTGGGATGTGATCTCATTAATACAGAGTTGTAGATTCTGGAGGCAAGTATGCATCCTTTCTCTTATTACTGAGAGCCATGATTTTATTTCTGTAAACAGGTAAGTGTTTCTGAAAGGTCATGGAATATTAGATCCCAGTCAATAAGATGAATGCGATGAGAGCTCTTTGTCCAAGATGGGGACTTGGCCAAAGAATGGTGGCGATTCTCAAGGAATGAATGAGCATGCCGGTCAGGAAGCGGAGTAACGGCTACTAGATCTTTTGGCCATTATGTTACATGTGATCATGGCTTAAAATATTTTTTCCACACTATTATGAACAAGTTGCCTGTTTGATCTGGATTGCTACACATTTTGTTTCAAATGAAGAAGCTGAACTACC